CCCACCCCAACCCAACCCCGATTATATAAATTAAATATATATTATATATTCAATATATACATAATATTATAAATATATATAATGATATTATTTATAATATATATYAAAATATATTTAAACTATTTTTATATTAAAAAATCCCTTATTTTAAGTAAGTCCATTTTCTAAAAAACTTATAATTTAAAAATTTTTGGGGATTTGGTTCCCAACAAGGAACTTATCTCTATCAGGGATCAGGAAAGGATAGTCATTTTTCTTCTTGGTGAGGATCGAGTTCGAGGGATGGGGACTTGTTTCAAATTCGAGGTCGGGGATGAGGAGTGTGGTCCCGCCCTAAAACAGAATTAATTGTAAAACCCAAAATAAAACTAGACCAGAATTTGCATTCTTTTCATTTGCACTCTTTATATTTGTGCTAGTGCAAATAAAATTGCACGGCAATTAAACACAGCCTAAAAATCCAAGACCTCCTTCCTTTAGATTTTTTGTGCTTTAAAATCTAAGGGTCTGTTTGGTTTGCAGGAATAGAGGTTTGAAATCGGAATTGGAATGGGCTATTCCGATTCCAACTGTTTGGTTGGGCGGAAACGGAATCCCATTCTCATTACTGCTGGAATGRCATTCCCCCATTTGAGGGAATAGTCATTCCCTGCCCCTTCCTTGGGAATGAAATCCCATTCCTGATTATTTTAATTCCCATTCCTAGTCCTGTATGAACCAAACAAACTGTGGCAATGAACCATTCCAATTACAGAGGATTTCGATTCCGATTCCAATTCTAATTCCAACTATGAACCAAACGTACCCTAAACTTTGTAGATCACCAAACCACAACGACACATGCATAGTTCTTCTTTCCAAAGAAAAAGTCACACTTGTCACATATGTATATCTCAATATACATATGTATATTGCTCACTCCTTTGCTTTCTATTGTCTTTGAAGCTTCTGTTTATTTTTCTAAGGAGAGATTCCCAACACTTCCTAGATTTTCATGATACTTGTGTGGCACTGCTTAAATCTGAAAATGCCATTTTAATAAAGTTAATCAAGCAAGGTCTATGATGGTATAAAGTTAATTAAGTAAATTAATTAATTAAATAACATTATTGTTTTATTCTTGGTCACAAAATTAGTAATAATTCATTTTTCGTTTCATTAATAATTCATTATTTTATTAATTTATTATTAAATAAAAATAATTATTTTGTTTTTATCTTGGTCAGATGTGAATAGGTGGGAATTTTAAGGGGAATCCACTTTTCCCCTTGAAATTACTTAAGTTGAAAGGTCCAGATTATTTTTCTTGTTTTATTAATAATTAATTATTCAAAAAATAATTTATCATTAATTCCTTATTAAATAAAAATAATTATTTTGTTGTTATTCTTGGTCAGATGTGAATAGGTGGGAATTTTAAGTGGGATCCACTTGTTATTTCTTCCCTTGAAATTATTTAAGTTGAAAAAGCTTTTTTTTTTGTTTTATTAATAATACATTATTTTATTAATAATTATTTTTGTTTTTTCTTGATCACATGTGAACATATGGGAACTTTATGTGGACCCACATGTAATTTTCAAATGATTCGAATTCAAATTCGAATCCATCGGATTTTGTATTCAATGGTTCGAATTCGACTCGGACCTTTTCATCGGATATATGATACAAATCCGTTTCGATTCGATTGAGCATTTTCAAATCAAATATCCAATTCGATCTGATTCAAATATCACTAATTTAACCTGTAACCTATGCATTATCAACAATTTAACACACTTCTAAGCATAAATTTATCCCATAAATTTTCACCAATTTAACTTACACTTAACACAAATTTAACCTGTAAACTTTCAGCAATTTAACCTCTTAATTATCAACAATTTAACATTGACTTCTAACATAAATTTAACATGAAAATTTCACTATTTCAGCAATTTAACCTGTAATTTTCAGCAATTTAAGATAAACTTCTAGCACATACAAATATTATGATATTCAATTTAATATTCAGACTAACCTACTCTGATATTCAATTTAACATTAACAAAAAATTATCATACAAAAATTGGATTAAAGTAGAATTTAAAATATAATAAACATGTATAACAAAAAAAATCAGATTGGGAATTCCATAACAAAATAAAAACCATACAAAAATCAGATTGTGTATTCCATATTCAAATCAACAACTAATAACATGTATAGAAAAATAAAAATATAAAATGATAAGTGATAAACTGATAATAGGCTAATAGCTAACAAAAGAGAGTGAGATTTGAAATTTCAGACTCACGTCTGTCTCACTGACTGCATACAGCATATTCAATTAATCAATTTAATATTCATACAAAAAAAAAACAAATACACTCATACAAAAACCTAAATGGCTAAACAAAATCTGACTCGAACAAACCTAAACGGCTAAACCTATTCCATACGATAAAACTCATAGAAAAGGAAATGAAAAAAATAGAAGATGGTGGAAGAAAGATTACTGGCAGCGCTGTTGAGTCATGAATGGTTGAATGCGAGGCAATCGGCGATTAGCAATGGTCAAGATTGAAGCAAACGGGTGAATGGCAAGTCGGAAAGTCGCAACTTACAACCGATCACCGGTGATGGCAGTAGGCAGCAGGCAGCAACATAGTGACAGTGGCGTGTGGCAGCTAGGGTTCTTCGCCTCCTTCTCACTTTCACTCTTTCAGTTGTTTAGAAGTTAGAAGAGAGGAAGAGTCTAAGGTATTCGGACTCCACTTTTTAGTTTTTACTTTTGTTAGATAGGACCTCATTTTTAAATTTATAATTTTAAACCTATGTAATTAATTAAACTACATTATATTATTTTAAAACAAAATATTAAAATGGGGTATAAATGTCATTTTATAATAATTATAAAAAATATATTATATATATAATATTTTATAACATATACATGAATGGTCGGATCGAATCAGGGGGTGATTCGAATTTAATCCGATTTCCAAATAGACCCAATTTCGCGATCCGATCCAATTTGAAAGTCCGAAGAGGGGGTATCTGAATCTGCTAATTTCATATCGGATTCCGAATCGGATCAGATCAGAATCTGATCCATTTGCACCCCTAATGCCACATCAATGGGCCTTATTATTATGTTATTTGTCTAACAGAATTGTCAACAGCATCTCTAGTATCGTCTATTTTTGCCTCAACCATAGTTTGAGGGCGGAAATGGCTGTTTTGAAAATTTAGGGTCAAAAWTGGTCTTTTCGCAAAGTTCAAGGGTTGTAAAAGCCAAAAAAAGTCATTTTTTCTCAAGTTCTGTTAATGGTTAAATATTAATCATTCCCTTCAGTTTTTCTTTTCGATTTTAAATTTTCTTCACCACATTGTTGTTCATATATTTTGTTTGAGTGCATATTGAGGGGGTGGCAATTTCTAACCCAAACCATCCAAATCCCTCTACTTAACAAAGCAGGTGCAAAATGGGTCCTACATTCCATTTGGATCACAGAGGATTGGGTTGAGAGGATATCTAATGACTTTCCTTGCTACTAGAGAGTTGCCATTTGGGGTGTGGTTGTCTTTTCCCCCTTAGGTGGCTGATCCCTCGCTTGAATTCTGTAGCGCTTGGCTCTAATTGTTCCATTCTAATGCAATAATTTGATATGTTACCAAAAAAAAGAAAAAAAAAACACTAAAAGCCCTTATCCCCTTAACCAAAGGACTCAAACTATCATTTTGGTGCTATATACTCAAAAATTCACATCTACCCCCCACAGAAAGCGCCCCAAAACGTCCCTCTGCACATCCCAACTGTGTATGGGGAGCATCTCCCAATGACAAGTATGGGAGATGTTCTCAATGCACCATGTGAGGGGTGGGAAAGAGATCACCTGATGAAGTAGAAAGTAAATATTCAACATATATACTTCCAATGCCCCGTCGGATTACAACCAGAGAGACTATTTGGGTGGCAGATCACATCTTGCATCCCAAATTCCCAATTAGTCTCATCTTGATATTCATTTGCTTAGATTAGTTTAAAATTCAAATTTGAACAGTGGATAATGTTTTCAGCCTTACACAGCCAACTCCATTGGAAATGAGGTGTTTGGCAAGCTATGCTTTGTGGGTTTTTGGGCTTTTCAAAGATAGGAAGACCAAATTTTGGTATYTTTTCCCATTTTGCCGACTAAGGACATGAAGCCAAAAAGACCCACACCGGCACACCCTAAAAGGTTCATGGAAGCCCATAACAGCCAAAAATCAGGAAGCTTCAAGTGAAACTTCCCGTCTTTCCATGCCTAAAATCTTTTATTTCACAGCCCCCATAGACCATGATAGACCAGATACTTACAAACCAGTCTTGATCTTTAAAGACGAGACCCCAAAAAACTTACTACTTTTAGCCATTAGACTGTCAGAAGATCTTCCTAAAAAGACTTCCAAAACAGCACCTTAGTAGAAACACAACTCAACAAAACTCACTGGAAAGTTGGCGGTATCTCCAAATAATATAACCTATTTTCAAAGGAAAAGTATCAATGAGATAGGATTACTACGATTCTTTTTGCTTAGTTATCAGAGCAACCCCTAAGCCCCCTTGCAATGTGTGATATATATATATATATATAGAGAGAGAGAGAGAGAGAGAGAGAGAGAGATGCAAAAAATAGGCTATGCAGATCTGCATCCCTAACAGGTACTCCTGAGTTTGGTTGCACCGTTGCAGTGCAATTTTACTTGTACTAGTACAAATGTATGAGAGTGCAAGTGAAAAAAATGCAAATTTTGATTTAATTTTGTTTTGGATTTTATGTTATTCTTCTTTAGGCCTTATTTTACTTCATTTTTAATGCAACCAAACAAAGTACGGTAAATTTTGATATAAAAATAAATCAAAATTTGCAGCCAAATCATTTGCACTACCATAGTTTTGCATCAGCGCAAATGAATTTACACCGAAACCAAACACAGCCTTAATGTTTCCAAAATGCAAAATTGAACCAGATTCGCAACCTAAACCGGACAATCAATCTGTTGCCCCCTCTTTCATTTCAAATTGCAGGAACAAAGTCAATCAGAAAGTGGGTTTTTTCAAAAGAAAAAATAACATAGTACAATGGTACAAATTGTAGGAACAAGATCATAAAGTGGGAAAGTGGGTTACTCTCAACCTACATCCTGTGAACAAAGCACGACAAAATGAATTCCTACTCTCTTCAGTGAACCAATTTAGATAAAGGAATGACCAATCTTTCTTGTATGATGCCAAATTCCATTACTCGATCAAATAGAATAATGAGATTTTGCAACACAAACTTTGTTCTGTGTTTAGTTCATTACTTGTGCACGAGCAAGACAAGCTTCTTTGAGAAAAGAGTAACCCAGTCTTAATCAGATTCAAAAGTCAAAACCATAATAAGAAAAACCTAACATGAAACAAAAGACACAACGCCTCATATCTATCATATAACAACTTTCTATCATGCTGCTTAAAGTATAATAATATCCAACAGCAATCAAAAACCGTCAACAACAACCTAGACCATCCACAGCAGATGAAAAATCCTATATGGCAACAGCAATCAAAAACCGTCAACAACAACCTAGACCATCCACAGCAGATGAAAAATCCTATATGGCAATTGCAGTGTGCAGTGAAGTCCTACCCGGCAGGCTGCAGCAAACCATTTGTTAGAATCACACACATCATAACTTTAAAAAATAAAAGCATAGATTGAGACATTGATGAGTCCAATGATAAAGTGTTGGGGGGAGTGGGTCAACAAAATGCGCAATCAAGAAAAATCAGTCTTCAAGCATGTCAAGATGCATCATCAAGTAAGACATTATCAAAGTACACATGGATTAACCCTCCCACAAAATAGGCTTTCAGGAGTCACCAAATGTCAAGTACTCCAACTGCTTAAATACTTTTAACACCAAGGCCCTATTTGTTTACCGGTAAACATGCATGGGAAAGTTGGTCAATGGATATCTTTTTCCCATTGACCAAGTTTCCCATGTTCTTTTTGTATTAAGCAGCAGGCCCCATGGTAAAATCACCTTTACTTTCCTAGGTAAAACTTACCATCTCCGAGGTGGATAACTTTCCCACCTGGGAAAAACTTTTATAAAACATAATGGAACCATTTTGCCCATTTTAATTCTAACTTTTTGTTGGTAAAAATGTCATTCTATTACTTACGAATCCTGGAAATCAAAAGAACATGGGTAAGTGAATTTACCCAGGTAACCATGAAACATTTACCTGGGTAAGTGCACTTACCCAGATAACTTGTAAAGTTGTAAACGAACAAGGCCTAAGGTCTACATCAAACACGAGCTTAAAACTGCACTTGAGCTTGGAAATAATCACTACATCTCACCCAAAAAGAATGGGGAAAAAAAACCTCCACCTTTCTCCTTCAAAATATACCCCATAATAGTCTAAAGAGCCAAATTACAAAGCCTCAATCTTTCTAATCTACAACCTTACCAAAAAATAATAATAATAAATCTTTGTAATCTACAAGAGATCCATGGCAACAATAAACTCTATTCACATCCTTGCAATAAACCCACCCAGCTCTAGAACATATTCCAGAGACTCCACCCATCCCCATCCAACACACGGGAAGACAAAAAAAAAAAAAAAAAATAGCAGATTAGACAAATTTATTTTCTTGTGGTGCATATTCTTCATGCCATATAAATAACAATGATTCTGACCAAAACATCTCATGCATTTTTTTTTCTTTCTTCCCAACCACCAATACACAGCATAAAGAATAATCCACCAAAGCATATACCTTGATAATATATATGCAATCTACCAAAAAAAGATAAAGTAAAAGATCGGTGACCTTGATAAGAATACATTGTTCAAAAAAATAAGAAAACTTACATCCTTAGTAGGAATGTACATGGGTCAACGGTTTGGTTGCACACAATTCTCTCAACCAAACCAAACCACTCAGGTTGAAGTTTCTGCCAACCAAAAGATGAGTAATTGGTTTCTCAGTTTTGTTGGTTGACTATAATAGAGCCTGTTGACTTGAAAAAATGAGCCTAACAGCATGTACTCAGTCAACTGTTTACGCTTTAACTGAAATAGGAATGACATTTGGGTTTCTCTTTCTCCCTGTCATGCTACAGCCTTTATTTTTGTTGATGAGTAATTTACTGATACAGCTTTACACTTCAACTGAAATAGGAATGCCTATAACCTGTTGATGCTACAGCTTTCAACTTCTCGTGGGGTATGCTAGATATTAGAATAGAAATTCCATTTATATACTTTTTGTTTACTAATACTAGACTACTATATATACTAACATATAGTCAGTTTGGGTCGGATTATTGTTGGTTTACAAACTTATAAACCAAAACTGAACCAATCAATCGGATTATGCATATTGATGAACCAAAACTGACCAAAAAACTTTGGAAACTGGCCATATCGGATCAAATAGGGCCTGTTTGGTCAGTTTGGTGCATTTTTGTAAACAGCCCTAATCATTAGGACAAGCCCATACAATCCAGAACAATGACATAAAGACTCCATTCACCCTATCCATTGTACAGTTACAAAAAAGAATAATAAATTGAATGAACTCATGAAGACATTTTTCTTGTTCCTAATCCTTGTGCGGTTCTGCTGTTTCAATAAGGACCACATTAATATACTTTTATCAGTGGGAAAGTTCCTTGGCATTACCCGTCCAGAGAGTGAGGAAAGTATACGAAAATGACTCAGAGCCAAAGAGCTAAGGGACCAAGAAATATGTGCACATTTGAAGAAAGGTCAGGTGGAACATGGTTGTGACCAAACTTCTGTGAGCAGTTATGTTTTGGACAGATCATTTGAAATTTTGATATCCTGGATTTTCTTCCAGGCTGAAGAAAAGCAATACTTTTGTCAGAGTTATAAGGTGATCTGGTGGTGAAGTCTCACAGTATCCGAGGTAGGGATAGAGGTGGCAGAGGTAGAAATACTGCAGTCTTACTGGTGATTTGTTTTGTGGGTAGTGTGTCTCACCCAGGTTCCTTTGCCATTTCCAGGCTCATGTTTTGTATCGTCCTTTGTGGTTCTATGTCTGGTCTGGGACCTCTGGGTATGGGTGGTTGTTTGGGTGCTTTTTTGGACCATCTGTTTCTGTGTTTGGTGGCTCTTTGGGTTATGTGGTCGTTTGTGTTTGGTGTGGTGCTTTTTTAGTTTGGCCCAGCAGATAGTTTAGTTGTTTTCGCTGGGCCTGGGGTCAGCCTCTTGAGCTCTTTCTTTGTTCTATTTTCTTTTCTGTTGCTTTATAAATCTTTACCTTACCTATTCATATATAGTAAAGAAAGGTAAATTGATCCAATGTAGAGGAAAGTGTAATTCACCAATGTACATGCTCATACAATAACAGAGATAAACCATCCTGGGAAGGTAGCCCTCCCAATCAGTGTTGCATGGACACCCCACCTTTGGAGGGGACTTGTGAGCCAACATGTGTCCGTTAGTCAATCAGTCAACTCACGCCTGACTCTCCAAAAGTAAGTGTCAGACTCAGCTGTAATGCAAATCAAGTGGATTTATTAAAATGCCTGCCAAATCAGCTCTCCAAAATTATGAATCCTTACTTAACAGTGGGACCGGACTACATTAATGAAAAAAGGAGGTTCAAGTGGATGTCACGAGGAATGGAAGCTAATGTACAGTGGGTGAAAAGAGATGCTAATTCTTTCACCGATACCAGCATATCGGGCATATCGATACCTTTTTTTTTTACTTTTTTTTATTTTTTTTCAAAACCGGTTCAGGGGGGCCGGTTTAGAGCTCCTCCCCTCCCCCCCCTGAACCGGTCAGACCCCCAATACACCCACTGTAGGGGCGTATCAGAGGGGTCCCAGAACAATACATATCGGCCGATACGGGCCGATACGTGTTGATACTTTGAACCTTGGTTGTAAATATATGTTACATAACTTTTTTATAATCTAAACATGTGTTAGGGAGAGCTACAAGAGTTTATCTCTCCTTTTTGTGCTCTTTGTATCTCTTTGTTTTAATTTAATGAATCTGATTCAGTTATTGATAAAAAATGGGAGGGACGAAGACCCACCGCCACCGGTAAGGCAGTGAAACCGAAAAGGCGAATGAAATTGAAAATACAAAAAAGAAAAGACTAGGAATCAGGATCAGGAGAGAACAAGTCTTCTACCCCGACAGTGAAGTCGTCGTCTCGTCTGTGTCTGTGAGAAAGATGGTGTCGTCCTATCAACGAAGCCGGGTACGCATTAGAAGAGTCGGGACCTGATCGACCTCAGCAATGCATGTGTGCGCCTACTCTCTGCCCTTGGACGGTGCTCCCTCGCATGATCAAATAACACCAATCAAGAAATTCTATGGAGGCCTTTCTGGAACTGTCAAATCCTTGCCAAAGCACTTACCAGATTTTGAAGCCATATTTTTTAGCTCCAAAAGAAGTGACTCATTGGAAAAGTTTCTGGGGAAAGTCAAAGGGATGGGCTTGTAATTCAGCATAATGAAGTCTACAACCGAGAAGTTCGGAAGCTTCATCAGAGTTTTAGATTTAGATGGTTTCTATTCCAATTATGAAAAGGATCAGTGCTACCCATCATTGATCACAATCACATTCTAAACTTCTGGGACCTATTTTCCTTCTTTCTTTCCCAGGCCCCAATYGACAAGATACACCACCACGGAGAGAGAGAGAGACACACACACAGTGAAATGTTTTCAGATCCCATGGACGATGTTGATCGCCTGTTCAAGTGCTTCGAATGTGGTGTCTGACCTCCTCAGTCAGCAGTGAGAGAAAGAAAGGCTCACCAAGACAAACTAAAGAAGGCAAGTTCAAGACAAGATGTCTCTGCACTTTCTGGCTTTGCATCTCCAAATTCAGCTAGACAAAAACCGCAGAAAACAGCAGATATGCTCTGCATGGAGAAAAGGAGAGCGATGGAGTTCAAGCCAGCGACTACATGGAGAAGAAGGCTGGAGTTTGAAGCCAAAAAGTACGTGTTTGAAGCTTGCAGAAACAAGGGACAGGTGTGCCTGAAGATCAGAGAAGAGAAAAAAAAATAACTTTTTCTTTGCAGGGATGCAGTGAATTGGGTGAAGGGTTTGGTGGATGCAGTTACTTACAGCAAGAAACAAGCTGGATGGAAAGGTCAGCTGAATATGGGAAGAACTTTATTGCTGAGCTGAGAAACAACAGAAAGGGGTGGTTCACAATTATAACAGAACGTTTTGGGGAAAGCAACAGGAAGTTCGTGTGTATTCCGGAAGGAAATAGGAAGACAGGTTGGAAGTGTTTTGCAGATAAGCTACAGGACTACCTGGTATTGACGGAGATGAATGAAAAGGTTCAGCAAAAGATTTCAACAGAGAAAGCAGAGGTGGGGGAGAGTGAGAGTGTTCTGGTAGAAAAGGGAGAGCAAATAAATCAGAAGGCAGTGGAGGAATACATTGCTTGCTCTGAGTAAATTGGAGTTGGAAGTTGATAAACAGAAATGAAATAACAAATTTGTGTTGATAGCTGGAAAAAAGATTAAGGACTGGCAGCTCGTTGCAGAGGAAATAATGAAGAGTTTTAGCATTAAAAAATCTATTCTTGTAGTGCCGTTTAGTGAAAACAGAGTCATTCTCGACATAGGGGAGGCGAAAAT